AAAAAAAAAAAAAAAAGAAAGATTACTTAATAAATAGTTTTATCTTGTATGAAAAAATTGTGAGGTTACCCCTTATTTATTTTTTTGCAGGTACAACACTCATCCCTATTAGTGACCACTTTCAGATTCTTCAGTTGTATTCTCAGACACATGCTGAAAACTGGAGTTAGCTTTATATTATTAAGATTAAACTATGTAAAAACTTCTATTTTATTCTACGTATGTTCAGAGTAAAATTCAGGGTATTTGTTACTTTATCTGCATTTAAAGTTAGGAAATGCTGATACATTTGTTCAAATTGCAGTATTCCAATTGGCAGCCATTTAAAGTATATGAAGTTTAGAATTTAAAGAATATTCTTTTATTACCATTTAATTGAAGAAGGATATAAATTAGCTGACATCAAACTTTGTTTTTTCTACGTGGCACCAATTACAAACTTTCCAATGTAAAGTAGATAATAGAGGAAAAACATTTTAATCCTTTGTTCCACTTTGCAGATCTTCTGATTTATTTATGTAGAGCCATGGGCAAGACTCCATTTGAGGATAGTCATGGCTCTTGGACTTCTTGTCCAATCTTTCCTGAAATAAATCTGTAAGGAAGTTTGGTTTTCTTCAACCCAACCTTCTTTAACCCACTTTCTTTAAACCAAACTTTAAGGGTTGACACAGCTGTTTTAGAAGTCATAAATCCTACATGCTAACCTCTGTCAGTATCTCATTTGCTATTTGACCTCATGCAAGTCAGTCAGTCACGTTTATCCTTTTGTGGGAAATGAGTATAATAATTATAGGAAACCTTAGCCAGTTCTTTTATATCAAGACCCAAAGGGTAGTTACACTTGGCTAATTATATTATTAAACAGTGTCTCACTTTGGCTTTGCCACTACAGAAAGTCGTGTGTTATAGTCACCAGGGGGGCTGTTCTCTGATAATTTAATTGACCCAACTATTTAGCTAATTTAATTCATCCTGGTTAAACTTACTTTCAAGCCAGAAACACAATTCAGTTACTTATTATAAGAAATTTCTCTGCTGAATGGACTCAGATTTACTGATGACTGGTCAGTACATTTTCATAGTAGGGAAAGCTATTGAGAAACCAAATATATTACCGCTGTTAGTGTCAGAACAAAGAAATTGGGTGGTTTTATGACATCAGTGAGGTATGGTAGTAACCAAGAAAGGCAAGTTGTTGAAGAGTCTTTCTATCAAACCAGTCAGAAGCCTTATTTTGGAAGCTACTTGTCCTATTTTATTCAAGTCTTGAGTAAAAAACTAAGTTTAGGTCAGGTAAAAGTTATAACAATTAAGATTTATTAAAGAAGACTCTGCATTATGCCTAGACTGACTTGTTTTTCCAAATATTTTATTCTGAAGTTTTTCAGAAATTCCTACAGAAAAGTAAGAGGAACCCTGCAGTGAACGTCCATGTGCCCACACAGGGTTTTACCATGGCATGTTATTGCATTCCCATATTTGCTAATTGGTCCGTCCGTCCTTCCTTTCATCCATCCATCCATCCATTATTTTTATGCATGTAAAAGTCAGACATTGTACACTTTTAAAAACTTTATTTTAAAATTTTTTAAACATTTAAAGCTCTGTGTACTCAGATTCACCAACTGCCCACATTTTTCCGGTCTTGTTTCACCTCTTTCCCTCACTTTTTTTCTTGAGTAGTTTAAAACAAACAACATATCATTTCACTCACAATTTTATCTCTTACATATAAGGATTAATACTGGGGGTACCCAAAAAATGTATACAAATTTTGAGAGATCTTGTTGGAAGTAAAATTAGTCATTCCCAAAAATTGCAGGTAGAAAGATTGTGTTTAGCACATCTAGGTACACTTGACCTGGAAGGTACATCTAGATACCTTCAATACAACTTCAGAAGGTAATAATACATAGATAGCATCTCTTAAAATGTGTAAACACTTTTTGGTATCCTCTGTATGTTCCCACTTAACAAAAATCAACAAAATTTTTAAATTTAATACCTAATCCTTGTCAGTTGCCTCAATTATCTCCTTACATTTTTTTTTGTTTGAATAATGATCCAAGTAAGGTCTATATATTTACAATTCGTTGTTTCTTAACTCTCTTTTCATTTTATAACATTCCCTTTCTCTGTTTCTCATACTACTGATGTGTTGAAGAAATACAATGGAATTTCCTCATTGGACCATTTGTTCTGGAGAATTCTCACACTCAGTTTGGCTGGTTATAGGCTCATGGTAGTTCCTCTCTCCCCTTTATTACCTGTAAACTGGTGGTTGGCTCTAAATATGTGATTATGTTCAGGTGAGTTATTTTGGCAGAAGGCTGTCACAGGTGGTACAGGCACTTCTTATTATATATCCTCAGACAGTAGGTGATGCTCTGGAGTTCCCATTTTAGTGATATTAAGACTGTTCTGTGGGTTCAAATGTTGGAAGATTAATGACTCCAATATAAATGTTTGACAGAACTATAATGTCATAATTTGGATTTACACAATGGTGACTTTTCTAATTTGTTCATTTCTTCTACATTTATTGGAAGAACTTTCCCTTATCACTCATTGGTAACTCTGAAATGTATGTTTTTGCCACAAAGGTGAGATAAATGCTTGATTCTATACCTTTTTTTTTTTGAGCTGGAGTCTCACTTTGTTACCCTCTGTACAGAGTTAAGTACTATAGCACCATAGCTCACAGCAACTTCAAAGTCTTGGGCTCAAGCAACCCTCTTGCCTCAGCCTCCCAAGAAGTTGGGACTGCAGGCACCTGCCAGTGACACCTGTCTAGTTTTTCTATTTTTAATAGAGACAGCTTCTCGCTCTTACTCAGGCTGGTCTCAAACTCCTGAGCTCAAGCAATCCTCCCACCTCCACCCCCCAGAGTGCTAAAATTAAAGGTGTGCATCACCACGCATGACCAGCCCATTGGTTCTATACCTTTATTTGCCAATTTTCAGAATATTGATTGTTGCCCTAACAGCCCTAAAAAAAAATTTTTTTTTTAGTTTGCGTTAATTGTGGTAAATAATATAACATTAACCGTCTTAATAATTTTGAATTATACAATTCACTAGTGTTAAATATATTGACTTTGTGATGTAACACATCTCCAGAATGTTTTCATCTTATAAAACTGAAGCTCTATCCCTATTAAACAACTCATTTCTGGTTCACCTCAGGCCCTGGCAACAACCATTCTACTCTCTGTCTCTAGGAATCGGACTATTCTGGATACGTCCTCTAAGGGGAATCGGACTACAGTTGTATTTTTGTAACTGGCTTACTTCAGTTAGCATAATGTCTTCGTCTCTGTTTTAGCATGTGACAGGATTTGCTTCCTTTTCAAGGCTGAATCCACAGGATTTTATTATTTTAAAAAATTTTACTTTGTTTTTAAGTGAACTTGTGGATTTTTATGTATTTGCTGTGTATAGTGAATTACAGTCATGTAGTCATTATTGTTTTTGGTGTTCAGATTGTCCCAACTTTGAACTTTGGGAGCTCCTTCAAGATACCCACTCTCCCAAGTCCTTTTAACATAACTCAGTGGTTTTTGAGAGATTTCTTACTTTCGGGTACAAGATGTTCCAAGCTGATCTTTTTGTTTGTTTATTGGCTTTTAGAGATAGAGTCTCACTACATCATCCTCGGTAGGGTGCTGTGGCGTCACAGCTCACAACAATCTCAAACTCTTGGGCTTAAGTGATTCTCTTGCCTCAGCCTCCCAAGTAGCTAGAACTACAGGCATCCACCACAATGTCCAGCTATCCAGGCTGATCTTAATACATTTTTTGCCCCAGACATGGAAAAGAAACCTGGTTTCTCTTAGTATATAAATACCACAGTCTGGGCAGCAATATTGGTGGCTTACTTTCTAATTCTTTCCTAACAGTATTTTAGTGTTTTTTTGGTTTTTTTATTTTTTTGATTTGTAATTTTTTGTTTATAAGTAGACCGTAGTAAGAGTATAACAGGAAAAAAAAACTGTTGTTGGACTGAAAATGTAATCTATGTCTCTTAACAACATTTGGGAGACTGACCATCTATGCAGTGATCTGAAATCATGGCCGCACTTTAGACTAATGCTATGAGCCTTAAAAAAAAATCTCACTGGCCAGGCCATACCCCAGACCAGTCTAGCTGTACTCTGTAGGGTGGTCCTAGGCACCTGGATTTTGCTACTCCCCAGGCAGCTCTGTATGTAGCAAAACTAAGTTTGCTTAGCGATGAAATCATAACCCAAACTTTTTTAAAGTTAAAAAAAAAAATACATGGACTCAAATTCCCTTAGTCCAGAATATGTTAAGTTCCAGACTTTTCTGGATTAACTGTCTTCTAAATTGACTAAGGCCTTTAAAAACATGAGAAATGGATGGACCTGGTAGCCCACAACTGTAATCCCAGTACTTTGGGAGGCCCAGGAGGGAGGATATGAGGCCAAGACATCAAGACCAGTCTGGGCAGCATAGCAAGACCCCATCTCTACAAAAATTAGGAGTGTGATGGCAGGTACCTGTAGTCCCAGCTACATAAGAGGCTGAGGTAAGAGAATTGCTTACGCCCAGGAGCTTGAGGCTGCTGTGAACTATGATTATACCACTGATACAGAGCAAGACCCTGTATCAAAATAAATAATTTTTTCTTTTACTGTGCCAATCTTTAAGTATTACAAATCTGTAGTGTTTCCTGCTTCTGTGTTATAGGTCTGAACAAGTACCAGACTCAGGCTTATTGAAAGAACAGCTGGGTCATCATGTTGCCACCTTGAATGAACAGGATAATTCTCTCAAAGAAGAGGTAGGTGGCTAATCTGTCGGAAGTTTTCCTGTCAAAAACATGGACTAGAGGGCAAAGTTAGTGATTTAAAAATATATATTTCAAGATACATAAGTTATTCATTTGAGGAATAATTACATTCTTAAGAATAATTTTAAATATTTGAAAAAATGATAATAAGAAAAGTAGTAAATGGTGGGTTTGTTTTTAACCTTCTGATCTCAGGCCTTTTGTGTGATGTTTTGTATAGGAATCCCAACTCCTGACATAATATTAATTTAGGTCCTAGAGGTTGCCTAATTAAACATAATCTGCTATAGCATTTTCCAAGGAATTTAGAAGCTTCATATAATGTTTAGGTTTTCTGTCTCTACTCCATACTTTAACAATACTGTACTGTCATTCACATAATTCAGCAAATACATATTGATCCCTTACTGTGCACAGATACCAGCCCAGATTCATTGGCAGGAAAGACATCAATAAACTGGCCCTTCCCTTCTGGAGTATGATGTGGTGGGATGAGTGCAATAAGAAAATGGAGAAGAAGGCTGGGTGCAGTGGCTCACACCTGTAATCCCAGCACTCTAGGAGGCCGAGGTGGGTAGATTGCCTGAGTTTAGGAGTTCTAGACCAGCCTCAGGATGAATAAGACCCCATCTCTAGTAAAAATAGGAAAACTAGCCAGGAATGTAGAGGGTACCTGTAGTTGCAACTACTCAGAAGGCTGAGGCAAGAGGATCACTTGAGCCCAAGAGTTTGAGGTTGCTGTGAGCTATGATGACAACTCAGTGAGATTATCTCAAAAAAAAAAGGAAGGGAGGGAGGGAAGAAGAAGAGAAAGGAGGGAGGGAAAAAAAGAAGAAAAGGAAGCGAGAGAGAAAAGAAAATGGCAAAGAACATAGACCTTCGGGAAAGGGAGCCCAGGCCTCTGGAGAAGCAATAGGGGCCGACTTCACCATGGAGGGAGTACAGGGGTGTGTGAAGTGACACCGGAAAGATAGGCTTTTGACAAGATGAGAATGGCGAAGGAGGATGGGGGTGACAAAGAAGGGCTGTTTTGAGCCAGAGAACACACTAGAAACCCCACATATTTAGGCGATGGAACTGCCCTTGTGCCTGAACTGTGGGCTCCAGGCTGAGGATAGTGAGAGGAGAACCCCATGAGGTAGTTGAGGGCCATGTTGTGCAGGTCTGGCCCCAGTAGGGACACTGTGTTGTGTTTAGTAGATTTTGAAAAGCCCCTGGAGCTTTGTGAGCTAGGCTATGGCAGGAATTCTGTGGAAATTTCATGTTTGGTTGGAACTGAGATGGTAGAGGAGGGAGTCTGCCACAGCCTGATGAAGGAGCCTGGTTACTGAGGGTGAGTTTGAAGATGCTGAATAGAATGTGGAAACAGTTGGAGCAAATTTGCAAGGAAAGTACGGCAGGAAGATCCAAAGGTCCAGATTTAGAGTACGCACTGACGTCTTCATTGTTCCCTGGAACAGCCACATGCCGGGAGACAGCCCTTCTTTTTCTAGGTTGACTGTCTTGGGAATGTGTCTTATTTCAAAGTATGTTTTTCGTCCTTACACATAATATAGGATTTTCTATCTTTAATTCTATCTAAATTTTTTAAATTATTTATCGTCATGCACATAACTCAGGGATTCTATGTCTGCCGCCCTCAAAGTCAAGCCTCACCACCTTTATTTGGAAGTAACATACCCTTGTGGCTGTGCTGTCTAGAGCCGCTGGCAGCACCCTACCAGCCTTCAGAGTATCACCAGTCCTCCTCAAGTCCCTGTTCTCCTTGATCCTCCAGTTAAAAGAGAGTCTAAGGACCCTTTTTTAGCATTTCAGACGTACCTGCTTGTGTGTTCAGTGACTGGATGAGCCCAACATTCCTGTGCCCACAACCTGATTCTCACACGTTCACATTGCGCCGACTCTGTTCAGATCCCTCATCATCGTTCTCCTCTCCCTTTTCTTCCTACCCCCCCTTTCCCTCTCTTTCCTCTCTCTCCTTCTATCATCCACCTTTTTTCCCTTTTCCCATCCTTCTCTCTTCTCCCTCTTCTCCCCTTCAACCCCTCTTCCTTCCCTCTTTTCCTTACAGGAAAGAAAACTTATTACAGATATGTATACAGCCTGTCCTTCTGTGCTGCTCACAGATTTCATGCCCCTTTTTAAAAATAACCTACGTCTCCTTCCTGGCATCTGTGTTTTACTGCATGCATTATGTGCAACTCAATATACAGCAGTTTGTTTTGTTCCAGGTATGACATTATTTGTGTGGACTTTTAAAACCATGTGCTTCATAAAAAATAAAACCTGTGGGGTTTTTTAGGTCTATTCATCTCTGCTGATTATTATAGATCCTAAGAAGGATATGGTTTCCAGGTTTTATTGTCCCTTTTATTTAACACTATTTTGTGGCAAGATCATTTTCCATGCTTGTTCCCTGCAAGTATATTACATCTCAGCCATGTCAAGGGTGAAATAAGTGTTAGTTGGCTGTCCTTTGCTATCTAATCATATATATTTTTAAAGATACTGTTTATATTAGAAAATATGTTCCAACCAATCTACTCAATAATCTTTTAAATAATCAGGGGAGGGGGCTGTCTAACTAATAATTATTGAATCAAATAAAATGATATTTTACTTGCCCTAATAGGGGTTTATTTGTTGTTTTTTTGAGATAGAGTCTCACTGGATCACCCTTAGTAGTGTGCCTTGGCTTCACAGCTCACAGCAACCTCAAACTCCTGTACTTAAGCGATTCTCTTACCTCAGCTCCAAGTAGCTGGGGCTATAGGCACCTGCCACAGTGCCCAGCTATTTTTGTTGTTGTTGTTGTAGTTGTCATTATTGTTTAGCAGGTCTGGGCCGGGTTCAAACCCACCAGCCTAGGTGTATGTGGCTGGCACGCTAACCACTGAACTACAGATGCCAAGCCCCTAATAGGTTTTTGTTCCTTTTTAAATCATTATGATCTCATTTTAGTGATGATTATAAAAATTAACCACAAATTAACAAGGTCTACCCTTAAACTGGAAATAAACAGGCAGTTTCCTCAAATGATTAGGTGTAACTGAAGAAATGCCCAGCCCCAGAGGACAGGGTGCTGCAATGACAGGGCCTGGCGAGCTTTGTGAACTTTAAGACAAAATGCCTCTGGGGTCCTAGAACAGTTTTGTTTTAGTTGTCATCCTTTTACGTTTAGCAAAATAAAGTGTCTTTGAGTTTTTTTCCTGTGTATTGAAACATCATACACATTTAGTAAATTTTCTGAGTTCAGTATTTCTCTTATAGATAAAATCTTGAAATTAAGTGATTTTCAAAATTTAAGAAAGCTCTACTAGAAATTACTTGGATAAGAGTCTAATGAAGCTCAGAAATATTTACTTTGATCTCTTGGGTAAATGGCTAATTAAACAGCCACATGTAAATGATGTTTACCTGTGGGTCCCTGGGCTGTCAGCTGGAGTCAATCCCTTCTCTTGAGTAAATACACCATCAAAGCCACAGAAACTCAAATTATGTCCCCTTGAGACCAGATAAGGTCTGCAGCTCCTGCATAGCCTATTAGGCAATTACATAATTGAGCTACACGCTTTTAAATCAGGAAAATTTGTAATTACTTTATGTGAAAAAAAATGAGTTGGGTGTTTCATTAAAATACAAAGTACTTTAATATTCCTTTTCACCCAAGTGATATCTGTTTCCACCCAGGAGAACTTTGTCACAGTAGAGCAACTTGATGACATGCATAGAATAGGTCAGGTCCTGTCCCCTCTATACACACTCCAATTTTATTCACCAGGAATATTCCTTTCCCTAAACGATCAACTATTTTTCTTGTTCTCTTGAATACTTATTTACTGGCTCATATGAATATTTTCCCATTTCTTTTATTTACTACATAAATAAAATCCCTTTTCCTTTAACATAGATATGACTTGAGTGATAATACTTGCATTTCTCTTTAAACACTAAAAAATTACTTCCATTATCTAAAAGGAAGGTTCTTGAGGAAGAGTCTGTTAAACCTGCGCATTAGGAGAAAACATTATTCTCTGTTACATCCATGATTTTTTAAAATGCTCTTGATTTTCTGTGTCTGTATTAGTAGCACTTGTTTTTATATAGAAGGGGACTTAATTTTATCAAACGCTTTGTATTCATTTTCTCTTAGTTTTTTTCTTTCTGCAGTTTTTGGCCGGGGCTGGGTTTGAACCCGCCACGTCTGGCATATGGGGCCAGCGCCCTACTCCTTTGAACCACAGGCACCACCCTTCACTTTTCTCTTTGAATTTGTACCAGCCATAGCAGAAATGAAATTCCTTTAAAGCTGGCATGTTTTCTTTAGAATACAAGCAGAACAAAACCTTGGAATGTTAAACAAAAAGAAGAAAAGAAAACTAGACATTATCTTACTATTTATATATAACCCTATTAATATTGCAGTTTGTATGGTTTTGACTAGTATATTGACAGACATGGGCTGCATTGTTTGTACACATAATCTTGTTTTTTCCCCACTTGTTGCATAGTGAACTTTCTTTTTTATTCTTCAACATCCTGTCCACTGTCTCTTTAACCAGTTGTCTGTTGTTGAACATTTAAGTTGTCTCTAATTTTGTCTCTAGTAAAAATCTTTCAGGCTTGGCACCTGTGGCTCAAGCGGCTAAGGCGTCAGCCACGTACACCTGAGCTGGCAGGTTCAAATCCAGCCTGGGCCCACCAAACAATAATGAAGGCTGCAACCAAAAACTAGCTGGTGGTTGTGGCGGGCGCCTGCAGTCCTAGCTACTTGGGGGGTGGAGGCAAGAGAATCGCTTGAGCCCAGAAGTTGGAGGTTGCTGTGAGCTGTGAAAGCTTGAGGCTTTCGTCTCAAGGAAAAAAAAAGTTTCAAAGAATGTCTATGCAATTCAGTTTTTACAAATATCCACAATATTTCCTTAGAATGAATTTCTACATGTAGAATTATTAGGTCAAAAGGTGTGTACATCTTTCAGGCTTTTACTACGCAC